TGGCCAAGGGAAATCTCACTTACCGGCAAATTTGCAAATAAGATTTTTTTCTATCAAAGAGATTGGCGTTGAAGGTGGGCCAATAGTAAAACAGAAGCTTAGCGGCAGAGGAACGAGCCGTTGTTTGTACCATACGCTATCACACACAAGACGTCTTTGAGAATATGTTTCTTTAGTGTCATCAGACATTCCAAAAGCTGGCAGTGATGAGCAGGATTTGTTGAGTATTGAAAAGACCATCATTATTACAGCTGACACAGAATGACATATGTCTTGGCTGCTATCACTATGCCTAGCTACAATAATATATGTGAATCAGTAATCCGTGTATACTAAGTGACGTAGGAAAAAGAACTACGGTAATTACGAATGTATTCTCCTTGAGATATCTCATCCCAGAGTACTTGATGTCCCAGACATGTTCAATCGACTTGATTGTCTTAATAATAGACCAACATAATTCTGGCTATATGTGGTCGCTGATTATCTTGTTGATTATCTGAAAATATGTTAGCCTAGGAACCCGGGCATCGATCTTCCAGGCAAAGTTATATGGTATATAACTGATAGGACAGGCTTTTTTTCGGAAAGTATACCGGTCTCCAAAATCCTATCAACAAAAGATTTTTAAGAATAGGTATCTCACTTATTGCGAACGGTAGTATATAAAAACCAAACAATTCACTATGTCTTGATGAAGGGAGCTAGGTAAAACTGATATGGTAGATGCTGCTAAGTAAGATAAGTTATCAATCAAATCATGTTCCAAGAAGGGTGAAGACATCCCAGACACTGAAGGAATGACTGACCAAATGCTGAAAAATGGAATGATTGGTAGAACTAATTCATTGAATAAAGGTCACGTCCACAGGTCCGCATCGAACTCTTCGATGTATGCGAAACGCACCAATGGACGCGTACCCTTAAGAAACACACTTAACCGTGTAACCCATAGGAAATTAAAGGAGCGACTTCTATAAGAGGGACAAGCGAGTTGTAGAGTCCTTTGTAGTCCAGAGAGGAAATAATCCCATACGGACGGAATCCATTTCCGGTCTTTGAGGAGTTCGAAAGGGGAAGGGGGACATCTTTGAGGACAGCTGAAAAAATGGCGTAAGTTGCAGGCATTGCTGTCTCAGTTAGAAGATTATTTCGTCACAAGTTAAACCCTCTGGGAAGAAAGTTGCTAAGAACATGCAGAAAAATTAAATGGACCAAGTCAGTCAAACATGTCCATACGATTATTCAATTTGCAACTATTCCTCCTGCCTTACCGATAATACCGTTGAATTCACTCGACAGTGTGGCAGTGACAGAACTGATGGGGAGACTGTGACACCAGTCAACCCACAGGGAGAGGCGTATCGTAGATATTTATCATTCAATTTTTAAGGAATTGGCAATTGGAGGCCCAGTTACCACGTGAAATCAGCAACTTGTAACTATACTACCGCCAAAAATTTGAGATATACCCTTGCCCAACCCCAACTACCAAGTTTCAACTCTCCAAAAATGTTAATGATTGGGCTTTAGAAGTTATGAGTTATGTAGGTGAGATTTTTTTAATATACTTACTGAGGAGCGTTTGAGAGAAGTATTTGATTGTGTTTGCTATGTCAACTCCAGATGGAGGGGGCATAACGCCCTGCATGAGCCGTAGTTGGTAGTCATAGAGACTGCGGATTTTGGCTGTAACTGAAGAAAATTAATTTTCAGTTAATTATTTGTTAATATTACAATAGATCTTCAGGTAAAACTCTTGTATGTCACTATTATTTCGTTACATTGTTAAGAATCAAACATGTGTTGCATATGATGGATTTGCTCTTTCCTCAACGCTTAGTTAAAGCAGTAAAAACGTTATTTGGATGTACTCTAAAGACGTAGTGGTAGTAAATAGTTTTACTGAATGCCTGAAGTAAAATGATAAAATACCGAAAAACAAATTTGCAAACTTAAGATGATAATTTTGAAATTTTTATAAGAAGCTGCGTTTTTTGGGGCGTATTGACATGCCGTTGAGAAACTAAACATTTGATGGCGCACCGATAGACGTCAAAGCGACTTTGTATTTGGTTTTATACGACATACGATGACGCCCTATAATGACGTCAATTGAGTATGACATTAGACCGTCATAATGACGTCATTTCTACGTCAGTTTTTTGCTCGGCGTACGTCAGTAGTGCCCTAAAAATGCCGACATTTTGACGTCACTATGTTCACCAGGGAAAGTCGTAACTTCCAGGACACTCTTATGAAAATTGCAAAAAGTAATTTCCCAGAAATCTGTTAATAAATGAGTTTCTTATTGGGAATAAAAACGTTTTACCTCTTTATCTAAGCATTAAGGCGACTATGGAGAATTTGATGCAATCCATAACATTTTTGATCCTTCTCGCTTTGGAATGGTATCACATGAACATCAGTATAAACGTTATATGGATTACATCTTTTACGTAATATTTTAATCCAGATCGAAATGTTTAAACAACAAAAAGCTTTGACTACAATTTCAGTACTCAATGTGTTTTTATCAAGTCATGGTGACAAGAGATTCAGCAGATTATGGATAGATCGATGAATATTTCATCTCTTCTAGTGAAAATGTATCATCAAAGTCGATGACGATTATTCAGAATAAGGTATGTAAGGCATTGGCCAGAAATCCAGTATCTTCTGTCAAGCTAAAAAATAACTAAGATAAACTTAGTCTAAAACGATCCTAAATTCGTTAGGGTAGCAATAAAAAGATCAAAACTCTGGACTCTAGAAGTCACTCCAGAATGTTTTGATTTTGTGAATATTATTTATTATTTTTTCGCATAATTTCTGCTGATCAATCTTTTTTTTTTTGAATACTGAAATTCAGTTATTTGTATGGGATTAATGGCCACTTCCACAAACATTTTTATAAACACAATCTTCCTCGCACAACAGAAAAGTATATTACTATACTTTCTTCAGTGTCATCGTAGTCTAGTTCGACTCTTTTAAGGCCTAAAAAAATTAAGACACCCTTGTGGAAGCAGCCAATCTCATTGCTGTACATATAATCACGTTGCTTTCCATGAATAAGCTATGTGTGATATGTTCATATCGAACGGGTTTGTTACATGGAATGATAAAAGCTAAACATCGATGGATAATTTAATTTTTGATTGGTCAGATTAAATGACGGTTTTACTAATCGGTGCATAGAAACAGAGTTTGTTTGTTCTGGATGTCGTACCATGTTTCTGAACCTTGCAATATAAACATTATTTTCATCATTGGCTCATCTAATTTGATTAGTCTTTGAAATATGGCGTATCTGGCGTCTGGCAACGCTAATTGAATGCAAATGAAAGCTAGGGTAATCAAATATTCGATAAACAGATAACTGGATAGTACGAGGTCTGTAAATCAAGCGATGAGACTGGCAATGTAGCGTTCGATCTGGCAAAACTGGAGGCGCCCTGCTTGGAGCAGAGACAGAGGAAAATGTGATCCACCTTCGGTACACGTTTGAACTCGCTCGAGTCGTTTGGTTCAGACAAAAAGTCTTGCTAAACAGGCCTATGGAGATGTTTTGTCAAGAGCCCATGAAACTATTGATAGAATCCGGGATCTTGTACGTTTAGATCGTCGGCTGACAGTAAGACTAATCGGGGAAGGTCAAATTTAACTCACACCACCGTTTAACAGATAAAGAACAACTGGATGTTGCATCACGTCACCTGCAATGTGAAT